AGCAACTGCCATGTGATTGGTTGATTAGATAATTGCATTAATGAGAAATTGAACAGGTGTTCCTAATAATCCTTTAGGTGAGTGTATATATATATGAATGATCAACACCACACAAATAAAATACCTAAATATCAACTGTGTCATGTCTTCCTTTATGGCCACACCTCAGAAAAAAAATGAAGTGTGGCTATGTACAACACGAACAAGCTACATATCTTCTTAGCATGAACATTCCCCTTCACCAACACCACATATGAAACTAACAGTTTAACCTATACACATTCAGAACGCCATTCATTTGTTAATATGAATGCTCACTCACCAGAGATTAAAGTCTTGTACACACATACACAGTCACTACGATGAACACAGCTCTCGCCAGTCCAGGTTCCAACCGCTTTTAAAGACACAAGGAATATTGGAGTTCATATACGTGAAGCTTTGTAACGGAATTTTCCACTGTTCATACGCTAATGGTTTAAACTAGTGGCACAGCCATCAATGTACTTACAACTCTTCCAGTCTCAATACACGAAATCCTTCGGCAATGAATCGGCCAGAATAAATTTCGTCCTGTTGGCGCTTACAATAGCAGCACAAAGAACGAAAAACGCCGAATTTTCAAGTTACAAATCTGCCGCGAACTTCAGCAAGCAGTAGCCTCATTCTCGGTCCGTCAAAAAAGAAAAGAAAAAAACCCGCGCTAACTGCGCAACGTCACTGACGACTTCTGATTGGCTCAGCTCGAGCACATGAACTCCATATCACCTATGTTTCTATCACAGTCAGGAAAAGCACATTAGTCATTTTTCCTTTTATACAATGAAAAGCCCTTTCATGGGAATGTGAATACATGTGTGTGTTTATTCTTTAACTAACTTTAATATTTTCATCCTATCCAAATTATTTATGTCATTAGAAACAATATGAATTTATATATTTAGTTATATCAGGAGTTCTATCTGTGTCATATGAGCTATATGAGTTCAATTATTTATTTAACACATATCCCATAGTCAACTAGACAAATGAATGGGACACATTAACCAGGGTTACAGGTGGGTATGTGGTCATGTGTCAATAGGTGGGTATGAATGGATGTTTTTCCACTTGGACGGGGAGGATGGCGGAGGGAACACGGTTCATACCGTAGCCCCTGTAGGCAGCATGGTACCAACAGCAAGCCTCCAGCACATCATACAGCACAAGTGTGGTATGTTAAAGCTAAAAGTCCTTTTCATGTGAACCGCAGATTTGTAATAAACGGGAACATCACCCACCTGCAGAGACTGCTTTGGACGTTGGTCATTAAAAGCTACGCGTTGAGAGCACTTGGCCATCCACTCTGAGGCTTACAGGAAAGCTTCTACATCAGGAGTCACCAACCTTTTTGAAACTGAGAGCTACTTCATGGGCACTGAGCCATACGAAGGGCTACCAGTTTGATATATTCTTCTTAAATAACAAATTTGCTCAGTTTACCTTTAGTTATATATGCTTTTTAAAGATATTTTAATTTTTAAATATATATAAATGCAAATGTGATCAAAGAAGAATAGCAACAGGATAACATTAAATTTTAGACGCTGCTCACTGGTGAGTTGTGCTATTTTTAGAAAAGGTCTGCGGGTAACTCATGTGGTCCTTGGTGATTCCTGCTCTACAGTAACAATATTTTCAATATCCACTGTCATTGTCTTGACTGTCCATGGACCATACCGGGCAGTGAAGCTTGTCATGGGGGGGACTGGCAGTGCAGCCTGCTGT